ATATATATAATATTAATGCAAATATATGTACATATCTTTATATTCCTATATAATCAAGTTCTCTATATCATGTTAAAATAATTTTGCTCATTAGAAGAGCAAAGTCTAATTTGAGAGTCTTGCACAACTCCTAGGCGAGCCGTAAAATATAATGATTCGCTGCAAGTTGGAATCCTTTAATCGACTGGCAGATGCCGTCTACTTTGCTGCAAGTTCACATTACAACATCTGCAGTATTTTGTTTTCATGCTTCAAGCAGTCGACTAGCTGATGCCCTGTGAACAAATTCGAGCAAGCAATGCAGCATTTCATTAGAATTTGAGAGCCTCTAGCTAATAGAAAATGACAAAACTAGAAATAATGGAATGAATGAATTTAATTATTTAAGCATAACTGTGAAATGGTTTTGGCATTTCAAAGATTCAACTAGGCTTTGTATAGAAAAGAAGTGAACATTGACTTGACTCGCCTCAAGCGGAATCAAGCATACCCTTTGTACTCATTTAATGCGCACAGGGTGTTCAAGGGAAATTTGAAAACTTGTGCCGCAGCATAATTAATAAAGTAAGTTTAACTTTTTACTGCTTTTAATCTCTCTTTGCAGGTCTGGTGGTCGCCTTGCCCCAGCCGAGAGTGCCCCGAAGAGCCCGAGTTGGACTTGGCTGTGCACCAATGCGTCGACTATTGTCTAATGCAGGAGCAAAAGAATCCAGAACTTTATACCGACTTGGGGGAGCACGGCAAGACCACAGCAAGGACAACATCGACGACATCGTCAACGACGACGACGACGACGACGACGATGAGGGCAATGCCCACTCCAAGTGCAGCAGATACACCAGAGTCAACTGTATTGACCACAACAACAACAACAACAACAACAACATCGACAACATCTTCGCCAGCATCATCGTTACCAGCATTATTTGCAACGCAAACGAGAAGCAGATATCACGACGCACTAAATATGCCATCGACCATGTTTCCGCCTGCTTTGTCCCTGCAGCTGCAGCAGTCAACAGCATCAGCAGCATCAGGAGCTGCATCAGGAGCTGCATCATCGCCATCAGCTGCTGAATTGCCAGCGATGTCCATGCAGGGTTTGAATCGTAAGTGTCACTTCTACATGATGATCCCAGATACTATTGACCATCTTCCATCTTGTGTTCAGCATCGGCCCCGCCCCTTTGCCCTCCCTCCAGAATCATTACTCTGCCACAAGCTGCTTGTTAGCCGTTAGTTTTCTTGTCAGCGCAAACACCAGACGACCTGGCTCCTTGACTCTTTGTCCGTGTCTTGTTAGTTTTTCTAGTTTAATAGGTTTGTTTTTGCCATCGTCGCTGAGTTGCGCATCAAAAAAAAAAAAAATAAAATAAAATGTGTGACAAATATCCAAGAACGAGTTGAAGCTTGACTTCTCATTGCTTAACGGAAAATACATAAAATGCTTTTTATAAAATGTCAACTATGCTTTTTAGAGCTGTCGCTTGCTTTTATGTCCCACTGCATAGAGAGCTGCTTTAGCTTTAATAATATCTATGATAAATTTAAGGAGATATTTCTTTTATCTTGTTCAGCATTAAAATTGTATTTAATTCCGTTGTTTGATTTCTTATTCTGCAAGTAGAAGATATGAAATAAAAACTATAGCAATATATAATCAAATCTTTATATTTAATACATTAGTTAATTTATACATGTATGTGAAGCGTATTTAACATTCGACAGAATGTTTTTTGGTTTTTTCATCCTTTCGTTGACAAGCCATAAATTTCATTATTTACTATCTATAAAAGCTTTCATGTGGCTACACTGAACAGATAAAGATATCAGAGCTTCGCTACATGCCCAAACGAAAATCTATAAATCTTGAGCTTATATTAATTATAGCCATAACCATATATAACACGATACACGCAAAATATAGCAGTATATATAATATACGCTTATATATGTATGTACAATTCTACCTATATGTATGTATATATGGGCAGATTAAGCTATGCAAAATATTTGCTCAACTCCAACTCGAAATCCAAATTGACTAAGTGCGGATTTTCATTGCAATCTGTACATACTTAAGCTCTATTCACACACATTTACACACACACACATGCTTAACGCGCTGGTGCCCTTCAGTTTCCACAGGCAGCTCAGGCACTGCTGACGGCAAATCAGAGCCGAGCATCAGCTGGGTGCACTCGGAGAATGCGGATGAGACATACTTTATGCTGCAAATGCATCCCGATTTGGCCGACCCCACCGAGCAGCTGGGCATGGAGATTGAGCAGGATGACAACGAGACGGTCACCGACATTAGACAGCGATTTGGCGAGGACAGGCTGGTGAAAATGCAAATCAATCTCACTGACATGGATGACCTGGATTTGCGCTGTGGCGGCCTGGTGAGGCGCACCAACATGTCCTATGTGAACTCCGGCGCCGTTCGCTGCATGATGCAGCGTTGCACGTTTACGCTAAATGCTCCAGAAATATGCCCACCTGATTACAAAGAAACGGACGATACAATATTCTGGATATACTTTTTATTACGGTATGTTCGAGTCGCATTCTATTTGATATATTTAGGCTTGACATAGAGAGAGAGTCGAAATTAGATTTATCTACTTAATAAATACTTGAAGCTTCGCGTTCGACAGCTGTGAGAGACTTCATTACTTTCCGGTATGCTGTAATTCTCATGAATCTCCAATTAGTTTAGATAATATTCGGTTAATTGTTTATTTACTTGACAACTTTTAGGAATTAAGTGTTTGCTGTGTTAGCCAACACTTTAAAAGTTTTTAACAGCTGTTAGGAATAGTACTGGAAAATACAGCTCGATAACAGAGAAACAATAAGATTTAGCGATAACCCTATTTAGAACGAATATTAATATTAATATATTTTTTATTAATTTTCTGTTAGCAAACTGGAAATTTAACTTACTTCCATTCACATCAGCAGTTATTCGCATAGCTAGAGTATTTCCTAGTCGAGTACTATCGCACTTTATTTACAAAAGCAAAGAAAAACTGTGTGAAAATTCTGGCTAGGATTACACCATGGCACGCAGGCAGTTTATAGACTTGAACAGAAATTAATTACGTGTTCTCTTTCAGCTTTTTAGCCACGACCATGCTGTCAGCCGGCGTTACGATAATGGATCCCATTGCACTCACAATGATAGAGAAGTTCGGCGGGGACTTTGGGCGCGAACGCTTGTTTTCCAGCATTGGCATGGCAATCTTTTCGCCCATCACGGGAATTATGATTGACTACTCGTCGCGGGGCCTGGGCTATACGGACTATTCGGCTGCGTTCTATACGTACGATGTGCTGCTGGTGATATCGACAATGTCCGTGTTAATGATGCCGCTGGGCGAGAAGCTGCCGGCGGATAATGTATTTCGGGATTTATGGAATCTATTGAAAATGCCGCACGTGATTGCATTCATAATATTTCTGTTTGTGCTCGGAAATTTCTGGGGCTTTATCGAAAGCTTTCTATTCTTGTATCTCAAGGAGCTGGGCGCTCCCAATTACTTGTTAGGTAAGCGGCTCCAGCTGCTGTTCCAGCGCTATGGCTAATGGCTCATACATTACCCCCGTCCATTCCACAGGCATTACAATTACTGTGGGCACTGTGAGCAGCATACCATTCCTGTATGGAGCCGAGAAAATCACACGCATATTTGGTCACGTTAATTTGATTATCATTGCGTTCTTTTCGCACGCCGGACGCCTGGTGGGCTATTCCTTTATCGAGTGAGTAGAATGGAATGGAGTGGAGTGGAGTGAAGTCGAGGGGGGGTGAGGGGAGTGGAGTGCAGCGTAGACATGTGCGCCTAATCTAATTTTATGGCTACATCGTATTTTTTTTCCATTGCTAGAAACGCCTGGTGGTGCTTTCCATTCGAGGCCATGGAATCGCTCTCCTGCCATCTGATGTGGGTGGCAGCCGCCACCTACTGCTCTCTGCTGGCGCCGAAGACCCTGCTGGCCACCCTGATTGGCGTCCTTGGCATGGCCCACTTCAGCCTGGGTAAGTGCAGCATTGATCTCATCGCTCTGCTAAAACACTCTCTGCAGGCCAATAACTTGTTCACTTGCTCTCTCTCTCTCTCTCTCTCCCTCTCTCGCCTTTTTGCAGGACGCGGCAGTGGCAGCTTTACGGGCGGCCTGCTGATTGGCCAGTTCGGCACTCGGGATGCCTTCCGCTACATGGGCCTGCTGGCTGTCGTTGGCGGCATCGCGTATGGGCTGCTGCATTTGATTTGGTTACGCAAATTCGATCACACCGCCGAGGAGTCGGAGGAGGAGGCCGAAACTGTGGAGGCGGGCGAAACGGAAAAGCTGACCGAGCCGGCGACCAAAGAGCAGGGCACTTCCATGTCGCTGGAGCGCCTAAGCCTGATGATCAAATACAATCAAATTGGCAGCCTGTCATCGCTGCCAAGGGGCTCGCGGGTAAGAGTCAAAGACGACTTAATTGTTCGACAGCGGGCAAAAGTTTTCTAATTGAAATTTGTCGTTGTCGTTGTTGTTGTTGTTGTTATCCGTTGTTATACAGGCGGATATACACGAC